TGAAAACGTTACAGACTGATAGGCAATTTTTTACCTTGATAATTTGTCCTTTAACAGAAAAGATGCTTTTCAGGTCTGCAGTTTTTCCTTCAGCGACTTTCTTCTCGGGAGAGGAAGGCATGATTAATTGGACAGCACTGTCAATAATGGGTTGCGGAATCTCCAACTTTGGGCGGCCCATGATGGTTGTCTTAGTAGACATGGCAACCTTGCCTCCCTTCAGAATGAAGTTCCTGATCATGAGAGTTTTACCCTCAACAATCTTTTGTTGTTTTGTCTTGTCGTTCAAAGTTGCCAGCATGGTTCCAGTACAGTCAGCAATGCTGAAGTTGAGCAGCTCTCCTTGTTGTCCATTTGTGTCAGTGAACATTGCTATATGTCCCTTCTTCACAACTGTGACTGTGATACTGTCTGTGTAAGGAGTTGCTGTGGTGCTCACCATGTCTCTCAGCTCTGAAAGCCTTTGATGAGCGATTCTGAAAAGAAACAAAGGAAAATGTTAACTTTTGTAATGTATTAAAATAGAGGTGTGGATTCAGGTTTTTTATGCAGTTCTTACCAAGAGGTGGGGGTGGGATGGGGTTGGGGATTCACATTTTCTAGGGGGTTCCAATGTAATTTTTTTTCTTGCTTTAATATTTAAATTTATTAACCTTGCAAATTCCAGGGGGGGTCCTCCCCCCTGTAGATCCGTGCAGGAATTTATATGAAGAAAACAATTTGAAAGTAAGAGTCAGCTATAATACATCTTCTTATACTTGAATTTCAATTCAATAATTTTAGCATTCAAAACTTGCATATTATTTTTTATAAAGAAATATTTAGAAGTGAAGGATTATTTGTAATTCAGCTGTAATGTGTTGTGATATATTTACATTTGTGGATTTCTTTGAAAAGGAGAGTTTATTATTAAAACCGAATGTAAACTTAATAGTGGCGTGACCTTTAATAATTGAGTACCGTAAATCTGGAAATTTATGCTGTAGATAAGTTTTCAGCAAATTTCCAAGTTCATTGCATTCGCAAAAATATTTTTCTTATAATAAATCTTTGATAGGAAAATGTGAGCAAAGCAAAGGTTAATTGTAGAATTGTGAAACATAAAAGTTAATTAACACCATTTGGACCCGAATTTGCAAATAAAATCAATGTAAAATTTCTAGATTTCGGTATGCTCTTAATATTTGTTTTATTTTTACATTTATCCTCTAAATTAAAAAGAAAATCATTTAAAAAATCGTATTATTGAAAATTCTCTGAAAAGTATGAAGTATTTTGATTGCTTTGCAATAATTCATGAATATACCTAGAAACACCCAGGTTATGAGATGACAAAAACGAAATATGATGAAATCTCTAATGGGCCCTTATTTACTCGCCAAGGCACCTAAAAAATGTAATTGATGCCTAGAATTTCTCTATGTCAAAAAATTGATGACCATTTTAAAAGACTTTGTGATCATAAAATCACTGCACTATAAACATTTCAGCATTTCTTGAAGAGCAGAAAAGAAGTACATGTATTATAGTTAGCAATGTTCATGCCTTTATTAATCAAGTAATGCAAGTTTGTTAATTGGCGCACGAGGTATTTGCCTGGGGACCAAATATTTTCATTAGTTACTATATATATATTTTTTTATAAAACCAGCTGGTATCTAATATACTGAGGTCACCTTAAGACCTGTTGATTGCAGTACATCTTTGTTAAGTATTTAATGAGTAATGTTCCTCATGAGGAAGATATGCTACGATTGGTTTATGATCAGAGTAGAAGATTCCAATATTGCACTGGATATTTCACAACTTGTCAAAATATTTGTATAGATATGGTCCAAACAGGAGTCATAATCAGTAGTAACAGAGTGTGCAATTTGTTTAACAGAGTAATTCTGTATGAAACTTGTTACTTTGCTTTGAGAGAAAAAATCAACATTCATATCACCCATAATGATGAAAGGATTTTCAAACTGAAGAATTCCAAACAAACGTTCAAGATATTCACACAACAGACCTTGGGATGCTGTCCGGGGTGAGCAGTAGCAGAAGACAACTTGCACCAATTTGTTCCTGTGCACAAAGTGACACAGAACTGTTTCAACACCCGAAGCATATAATCTTTTTATGTCTTGGAGATGAATTTTTGAGTAAACCACGAGTCCTTTGAAGGGTTGAGTAGCACCCTCAGTATATGTCTCATCATCAAATCTGTAGGCATTGTATCCTGGAATATTATACAGTTCAGCATCATCTGATGCCATAAGTCTGCTTTCACTGATAGCAATAATATCACTTGATAGTAAGTTTTTCTCTTCCTTCATGTCATTAATATGCAAATGCAGTGACCTGCAATTGTGATAAACTATCTTTACATCATCATTCAAGTTTCCAAGAAGAGGAATGCATGACTGTAAAACTGATTCTGAACGCAAACGATTCATTTCATCAATAACTTTTTGTGACACACAATTTGTTTTCTCATTCAGCTCTAGAATGTAAACATCCCGGAGTTTCCTGACTCTACTTAAGCCTACATAGTGCATATGTTCTTTTTTTGTTTTACCAAAATGCAACACTGCTTTGTCCATCGTAGCTCCTTGAGATTTATGGACAGTTTTAGCGCAAGCTAATCTTAAAGGAAACTGTCTTCTGATAATATATGCTGACAGAAACTGTCCTACATTGAAGTTTCTTGACACCTCTAAGATAGGAGGCCATGACCTTTCCAATTGTGGAGTAAAAAGATGTGCATATTTTGTGCGTGCTTTTGATCCTACAATTTCATTTTCAAATGCAACCCAAATAATGCTGCAACGCTGTGATCCTTCCACTCGAAAATCTAACTTTTTTACAATGCAGGTTGTTCCATTTGTGAGGCCATCTTCGACATCAATATTAAGACAAATTTCAGCTGGCAATTCTTCAAAAACTAACAAGTTATTGCATAACCCCATAGTTTTGCTGGGTCATCTGACACTTTTGATAAAATTTTATGCTTGATATCGTCAGCTATATCACCATTCACAGTATCTATAGCTCTAACAATAAATTTTTTAGTGGATTCTGCACTTGTGAAAGCCTGCATGTTATGTTCTCGAACTTGCTCATTGATGGTATACAAATGAGGCAAGGAAGAGAGAATTGCACCTTGAGGCAATGTTCTTGTTTTCAGTTTCGTTACATCAGATTCGTTTTGCAGTCCCTCACGCAACCTATTTAATAATTCTGCAAATTCCATGTCATCTTTCTGCCTCATAATATCCGTCAATTCAAACAGCCTTAAATAATCTTGACATAAATTTGTGGCCAAAGGCCCATAGTCATCAGAAAGGTTTTGGAAAACCCAGCTGTCAAACACTGGTTTAAACTGGAATAAATCTCCAATTGCAATAATGCTAACACCTCCAAAAGGTTATTCGGTTGCAAATATTTCTTGAAGTCGAAGATTTATGTAGTTTAAAAGCTTATTTCCAACCATTGAAATTTCATCAATGAATATAATTTGTAAGCTGCGGAATTTCGCTCTGAAAGAGTCTAGTTGCTTTACATCTAATGGTTTATACCTAAGATTTTGGTTAGGTGGAATGCAGAACAGGGAGTGTATTGTTTGTCCCCCAATGTTGTATGCAGCCTTTCCAGTTGGTGCACATAGTAATGTTCTGATATCATCTTGATTTTCACCTATCTTCTTGGAGTAATATCTAGTCAAAGCCTGATAGAGAGCTGTTGTGAGCACACTTTTTCCAACACCTGCACCGCCTGTATGGAAACAGGAAACTGGTACTTCATTCATCTTCATTTTGTGCAACACATGGTAGAAGAAAATTTTCTGTTTTTCATTTAAACATTTCACCAGATTTATATAGTCTTCGTGATTCAAAGAATTCACAGGTATGTCACATGTGCTAATCTGTTTTCTTGTTACACCAAAATCAATGACATCCTAGAGAGAATAAAAACAAAAGTTAAACGAATACGTTTTTGGCCCACGAGGGCTCTTAATTGGTGGATAAACAATTGAAATGAATATTGTCAGCTCAGATAGCAAGCTTACATTGGTCCAATTTTGGGCCACCGTTCAGGGTTTAAACTTAACTGAAATTTCCAATAGCTATGGGGGCTCCTAACATTTCAAGTTTAGAAGCCCACAGCTAAATTTCTTGTCTACATGTACAGTCGCTGCCGTATGTGTGTGTTTGTATGTGTTTTAAAATTTAAAAATCTTTTGGAGATACTGGGATGAAAGTAGATACAAATAAAATACATGTATAAATACTTATTTAAAGTAAATAAAATTGAATTCACATGACACTTTTAATATCCTTTTTGACATGGTGATACACACGTACGTAGCCTTCTTCATAAATAGATGTATTTACTATTTCAACTGATGGAGTGACAATGACACATAAATATTTAAGATTTTCTAGGTTATATATTTTAACTGAAATGTGTCTGAAACTGAAATAAGTAAAGGAACTTACTATTCATATGACTGAGCAGTTGTTAACTATCGAAATTGTATATATCTCACATTTGAACCATGTTCAGAGGAATAGAGGAAATTCGGATTAGGAAAAAAAGACGATCGATTAAGGGGTTTCAGAAATCATGTAGATAATTTGGTTAGCACTGTACTTTTAGATATTTGTATCCTCAAAAAACAATAATTGTCACTAAGTAAACAAATGTAGTCTGTATTTGGTTTCCTGTAAATGCTTAGATTGGTTAAAGTGATTTTAGAACTACAAATACATGTATTAAGATCATTTCTTAACGATAAAGAAAAATTGTGTAAACAAAGCAAAATCAGTTTCATTGACTGTGTAGTATATCCGTATTTAGGAGCATGTACAGGATGAAAAACACCCTTGAGAAAATTTAAAATTGTTACTCTGAGTACGGCCGGGTTTGACAAAAGTCGTATACACAGCATACCAATTTGAAAGATGAATTCGACACTGTAGGCGTTCATTTTCTGTGCTTTGTTATCTAAAACAATGATTGATGCCTGTAGGCCTTGCACCTGTCAACAGGCGATTGGGGGCTCTGGCCAACAAGCTAAATGCGGAGGTAAAGAACTAACAGAGGTACCTTCTACTCTCCCCAACGACACTTGTAGATTGTAAGTAATCAGGTAAAAAGAATATCTCTAATTTGATGTAAATCATAAGAGAGGCTAATGCACTATTACATCCGTAATTAAGATTTTGATTAATTAAGATTTTGGTATCGACAATATAAGCTATTATTTTGAAACGACCTGGCATTTAAAATGTTAGATATAATGAAAAAAAAAACAATGAAGGTTTTGAATATTTATTGATATATTGTATCTTATCCATTAATAAAAAAAACAGGTTTTACTTCTTTTAAAACGGACTTTGAGAATTCAATAAATGAAACGTTACAAAAACATGTAGTTCCATTCTTTCTCCATTCTTTCTCTTTCAAAACATTTCTATCTTTATCGTTTATCTTTAATATTGTTTAGAAAATACAATGAACAATTACTTTTAAATAATTTTGTACTCGTCTGTCTGCTAATATAATTTTTTGGGAGCATCTTAGAGTATGAATTCTAAAACAGTGATAGACTTCCTAATATCTAATAAAAAAAAAAATTGGGTTGATCTTGACAGGAATAAACAGGACTTAGAAATACTTAAATTTCAGGGACACATTTCTTCATTCTTTTTATTAAACTTTAAATTCGTAAATTTCATAATATATATTTGGAATTAATAAGAAAAACAATTTTACTCTTAGTTATTAACAATTAAATATTGATAGATATTCAAAAATGTTTTTACCATGATAATCCTGCAAACGTTCAAATCCAATTTATGGATTGGATTGGACAGAATTGGAATGACTGTAGGTTTGATATTAAAATATTCCTGGGATAGCAATAGTCCAAACAATATAACGTGTATTCATTCTTTGTTAACGTTTTGCAGTATATATAGCGTAAATTCCTCGAAATTCCACAACCTTTCCACTGTACAACTAAAAACAGTGGTAGTGGTAGCCGTCTCATATCTGTATTTTCTTAAAGAATACAGAAACACATATTTTGCATAAAAACTTGCTTTTGAAATTCACTATTCAATATTTTTATTTACAGGGATCTGTTCAGGAACAATATTACTACAATTAAAAACAGCAGCTTTACTGGCTTGACGAACGTAACGATATTATAAGTTTTTTTTTCTACGAGGTCCTGATCATGAATATATTTGGAGTAGCAATCCACCAGAAATATTTTGTAAATTTGTCTCAATTTAACAATATCAAGAACAACTAGAAAGTCTGCTATTGTAAGTTAAGATTGGACAACCATTAACTCGCATCAGTCCTTTGGTACTTTGATTTAAAAATCAAAGTTAAAGAATTTATACGTTTCCCCTGTTTCCATGGCAACTGTTGACAACTTGCAATTTTTAAATACAACATGCAAAATTTCAATTATTAATTATTAAATCAATAAAGTTTCATCACGAATTTCCAAGGGACCAGAGAGAACACTCTCGGACAAAATCCGTCGCCTTTTGCAAGTTTCCATGACAATGGTAGCCATTTTGAAACAGAATAACCACACAACACAACTTCAACCAGTGATAATCCTTTGAGGGAAGTTTCACGAGTATTGTCCCAGCCATCTCAGAGAAACGGCCTGGAGATCAAAACCATGCATACAATCACAATATGTCGTCCACGACTTCATTCGGGGCGACATAAAAACATAATATTTTTTTCTTCAAATTATTGTTGTCCCAGCCAGAATAACGAACAAGACGCATGTATGTAATCACAGAAGCGTCAAGTACTCAACACATGCGGACTATTTTTATACATTATTGTACCTAAAGTAAACTACAAAAGCATATATGTAAATAAAATCCAAAATATGTGTATAAATAATAAGTTGAAAGGTTATAAAATAGTCGACCTTGTACATGTTATTATATAAGAGGTTTAGCGAACTTTAAGTTTCCTCAGACAAGTATATACATTGAACGATGGGGATTTAAAAGAATAATATTATATGGGATTCGGTATTGATATTGACGAATGAATAAATCCAGGCTACACACAGACGCCTCTAGGTCTCTACACTTGTGATTTAATTATTAAGTGGTATTACATTTTGTTATATCAAAAAAATTATAGTACCTCCTTAAGTATATCCATATTTCATACTGTGCATAGATGTTTTAAGATTATTTATGACATCTTCTTTTATTTTATTGATTATATTGCTATGAATTTGATCGATATAAAAATTATAGTAATTTTAGGATATCGATCAGAGCAAAATTTCCAATTCACTCGGGATACAGGGACTTAATGCAGATACAAATTAGAAAAAAAAAAATTCGAAATAGGGACATGGAGAGTCATCAACAGTTCAACAACTGATCATCATCAATAAAACTAAATATACCGTGATAAATACCTTATATAATCATTATCTTAAATAATTCTTTTAAATTATTATCAATTTTTAGAGAAAAAATACTTGCACTTGATAATCCCTCTTCACAATTTCTTTCAGGGATATAAGTGAAAACAGAATAACAACAATAGAGGAAAATGCAATCAGCGCACTGGCAAATTTAAAAAATCTGTAAGTTTGTTATTTGAAGATATATTTTGGAAATATAAACCCTCAAAATTATATTTGATATTCTGTGTTGATTCATTTTAATCATGACTTGACGAATTGAAGAGACTGAAAATTCCTGATTTAAACTATTTTTTGGATATTAATCCTCAAAACTAAACTATGCCTAAGATTTCTTCTTCAATAACGATTTGTGGTTTAGAAAGACTCCCACATACACTTTACTCACCGGTTACCCTTACCAGTCGATGCGTAATTGAGACTGACAAATAAATAAGTTAAGGCTGAACATGTTTAAATTTGATATACCTGTGTTGGTACTTTAAGGATAGTAAGAAGTATTTACGTGATTTATACATATTTCTTAAAAGGTTCTTTTTTTATATATAATTTTAGGGTGATAAATAATTGCACTTGACATTCCCTTTGCACATTTTTTCAGGTATCTATCCGAAAACAGAATAACCACAATAGAAGATGATATGTTCAGTGGATTGACGAACTTAAAATATCTGTATGTTTGTTTTTTAATTATATATCTTGGAAAATCACTCCCTCCAAACTAAAATATTATTGTTGTTTCATATTATTTCAATAATTTGACAAACTTTTGGACACTTCAGTTTCCTTATGTATTTTTTTTATATCAATTGTAAAAAATATACGAGGGTTGTTCAATAAATAATGTCCTGAACTGTATGACATAAAATACCAATACTGATATTATATAACATTAAACTTGACCTTTTCGCATTATTGAATCTATAATGAATTTATAACAAATTATGTGACCACTTTTCATCACATAGTTTCATTGTGAGAAGCTGGCGAACAAGGGCTATTCGAGACACTGAATTAAAAATGAATTGTAAAGAATAAGTAAACTAGAGTGAAATTAAACGCTTCTTTGAAGCTGCTGTAAAACTCATTAAGAATCCAAAAAATATTCACTGAAATGTGAAAAAATCTACGGCAACTAATGTCTGTTTCATAGACAAATGGGAAGGTAAAAATGGGTTTCGTCCTAGCCAACAAAAATATTAATTTTAAAAACTTGTGTACTGTTTGCAAAATCTCAGCAAATAATCACTGATGATGTATGATTGAATTTAAGACAGAAGTTATTTGATAGACATCATTTTGGTAGTAGTTCACACTGTTTTAAAGAAAGGTTTGACAGTAAAAAAAAACTGAGTACTCAAAGGTCATCGTATGTTTTGAAAAATGTGTGAAAACGACATCGTGTAAGAATATCTAAACAATTATTTTAAAATATAAGTAATTGTAGTTATCCACGTTTGATTGAAATTCAAACATAAAATAAAACTCAAATCTATTGCTTAAAAACCCCGAAAAAAAATTACAATAAGATGTAGTAGACAAAAACAGCAAGGGACTGAGAAGAGCAAATAATTTCAAGAGCATAAAGACAAATTTATATGCAATCTTCTTTAATATTAGCGGTTTTGTTGTTCAAATCTGTGCTCGAGGACGCAGTTTTATATCTGAAAGAGTATGGAAGGCAATTTTATTTTGCAAAAATTGAAAGGTTAATTAGAGGAATTGACCAGAATCAGGAATCTACTACTTCAAATTTCTTCTTGGGATAAACAGAAGTATTTTGTTTCACATGAACAATTTTTGCTAGATCTTCAGCCTTTTAATTTCTTTTTCCAAACTTGAAAAAACACCTTTAAGTAGGAAGAAAGGAACATTGCAAGAGATAATAAGATCTGTCATTTTCCAGTATATGAGTTCTAAAAACAATCAGAAATTGAATGAAAAATTTACGGAAATGTGGTTTAAATAAAAGTGAATATTACGTTAAATCATTAAGACTAAATCTTTGAAGAGTGTCTTTTGTCCTTTGCTTCTTTCCAAACATCGGGGACACTATTTATTGACCAGCCCTCGTAAACTTTAAAACGAAAACTTCCCAAACCAGTTCCAATCCCGTGTAAATACCATGTATTGGCTTTGTGAATTTAGATGAGTTATTTCCATAGTAATTTCTCTTGTTTTCTTTGGGAATCACCTTCTTTTGATTTTCATTCTGTACTTCTTTTCAGGTATTTGGACAAGAACAGAATTACTACAATCACAAACAGCATATTTACTGGATTGACGAAGTTATTTTACTTGTAAGCTTTTTCTAAGGGTCTCTTAACATTTATATATTTTTAGAGTATCTATTGATCAAAGTATAGTATACTGTGGTCTGATTCAACACTGCCAAGAATAAAATATCGACTTTTAATTATTATAAATTGAAAGAGTGAAAAATACCATAACAGTGTTTACCGTCTAAATGCAATGAATTGAAGTTTTGAAGCTAGTAGGAATCATTTACGTTATAATAATAAACACTTCTGTGTTTCATGAATGATCATTTTTATTATATAGTCTTTTTATAGCCCCTATATAATCTATACAAACGCAAACAGTTCGTAACACTACATATTCACCGGATTTTAGGCCGTATTCACCGGAGGGTCAATGCGCGTGCAACGACATTGTGACGTCACAATTGCTACCTCAAACAACGTTGTAAACAATTGTGGCCGTATTCACCGGAGGGTTACTGCGCATGCAAGGCATTGTGACGTCACAATCATAACGTCAAACAACGTTGTAAACAATGTTTGCACCGGCCACAGAGACCTACGTATCTGAGCAGAAAAACAATTATTCAAACCTTTTTCAGGATTATTTTTTAACATTTGGATGTCTTACATATAGCAAAATTCGGAAAGGAAAACACGGAGGTTACTGAGAGTAATCTGGAGATTTTTTTCATTTTCAACAATGGAAGATCGCAAATGAAAATGGTGTCGTCATACAGCCTTCACTGTCTTTTTTATTCAAATCCCGACTATATAATAAAACAGTTATGGACTCTTTTGCCGTTGAATATGGTTTGTTATTCACCACAAAAATATCCATATTGATATAGATATTTTTCTATTGAATAACAAACCATATTCAACCCCAAAAGAGTCCATAATTGTATAATATCTATATTCTGATTCATTAATGTCAAGAACGGGAGGATCGTCTTTATAATGTATATTTAAAGTATGCACGAACCTGAATAATGAATTCAAACAGTATAATGCATACGGAAGCCTTAATATCTCTACACTTTTGTTACTTAAGAAATGAATTAAATAGCAACTCACATTATACTGCTATAACCTTTGTTTGGACAGTATAAGATTTATAAACCGCGAAGAATATGACATTAAGATTTAATGTTACTGTGTTGACATTATGATGCAATTAAAAATTTTCGAAGTGATCGATGTTTTTTTGTGATTATTTTCTTAACGAATAAAGTAAACTCTTTGAATTTTTGAGGATGATAAAAAAATTGACTCTTCACAATTTCTTTCAGGACTCTAAGGGACAACACCATAACAACAATAGAAGCCTTCCGTGATTTGACAAAGTTGGAGTTTCTGTAAGTTCGTTATTTAAAACAATTTTGGAATACTAATTTTCCAAACTACAATATCCGATGTTTTGATTCATTTATTTATTTGATAAAATTAGAGGGATTTAAGTTCATTGTTAGAAATAGTCTTGAGATGTCAAACCTCAGAAATTTTCCATTTACTGATTAAATAATTTCATGCACGGTAGTATCGTCTTTACTGATAATTTTTTTTTAAAAATATATATTGAACAATAAACTCCATTTTCATTTCTTTTCAAATCTTAATTATTTCGAATGGAAATTTCTTATCGACTTTGAGGTATTACGCACATGTATCAATTGCCTTGTTCCACTTTTTATAGACGAAAGTATATTGTTTATGAAAATTAGTATTACGACCATTTTATCAGATAGATTGAACTTAAATCTGCAATTTACGTACAGTCTTTTTGATTTTTTTCAGGGATTTAAGTATAAACAGGATAACTACGATAAAAAATATCACAATAAGCGGATGGACAAATCTTGAAATAATGTAAGTATCTCAGAGTAGAATAACTATAATAAAAACATCACAATAAGTAGGTTGATAAATCTAAAAAAAAATGTAAGTATCCAAGAATAGGTTAAATACTATAAAACATCACTGGTTTGACAAATCTACAAAACATGTAAGTGTCTCACAAAAGGATAACTAGCATAAAAGCATCACAATATGCAGGTTGACAAATCTACAACAATTGTAAGTATCTCAGAATATTTTTATTTTAAGTGCGTATAAAAATCGGACCATAAAATGCACCCAATAATAAACATGGTCCCATCGTGTTTATAAGTAAAATTTGCAGTTGTTTACAACTTCGCAGTATGGTTAAGGTGACAAATGGAAATGAATGGGTCTCTAGATAAAAAAATAATTCATAAGATTAGGCGATACTTTTTAGGACTTGTATCAGAAAAAGTAATGTGGTTCTAATGTACATGATTAAGACAATAAGATTGTATATTTAGACTTGTCAAATGACGTTGTAGTTACATAACTTTAGCAAAATTATTACATACCATTCCTGATGTTTTGAGGTCTTATATAATGTTCTCATTATCTTATCCAGGAAATTACATGATAATCCTTATCACTGCGATTGTGAGTTGATTGGCCTGGTCGATTTCCTAAAATCTGGAAGTGTCAGTGTATATGAAAACCAATGTTGCTTCACTCCTGCGAAATTAAATGGAACTGAGTTGGTCAGCCTATCAGCTGCAAACTTGACCTGTTCCGAGATGACAACTATGGAAACCAATTCTTCACCTTTGAAAGTAGGGGACTTTCTGGTTACGGCACAGTTGTTTTTATATTTGCTTGTTAAAACCTTGATTTAGTTATAAGATTCAGAAATAGTGAATGCACATTTTGTTCGCAAAACAACTCGGAAAAAAAGCTAAAAACCAATGGAAAGTTAACAGGACAGCAGGAATTTTATTTTTACCCTGTACATATCAGTGCATTTTCTGGAAATACTGATAAATTCCCTGGAAATAGTAGGAAATACTGTAAATGTATTATATTAAGCGTGTTTGATTTTTGGCGGATATTGACTTTTGAAAATTTTAGCGCGTAAATTTGAATCAAAACAGTTCCTAATATCCACTATTATATATAATGTGAAAGACTTTTGCGTTGTACTTGAATTAGCGTAAGTTTTATTCCCCCCCCCCCAAAAAAAATCCCTGAAAAGAATACACAGCCAAATCTAATATGTTTACAGTAAGAGAGAGCTAGTTATAACGATCACTTCCATCATGTTTGTTTAGGTATCGATCTGTAGAACATTAAAGGATAAGATAACAACCTTGTCTAACTTTCTTTTATTTACAATTTTGGTTAATTATAGAATTAAAAAAGAATACATATAGCGCAGTTTATAAACACTATCGTTTGTTTGAGTTACGTAAGATGTACACTGTATTCTATAACAGTCAATAAAAAAATAAGGATCCTATTTCGACTATCCTTATTTAACTTGAGAAGGATCTTACATGGAATAAAGTCTAGAATGAATATCTTTAAATATCAAAACCAAAGATTCGGCTTTACAAACCTACTCAAGGTAAAATTTTTCAAAAAAGAATAGAAAACAATAAAAAAAAATAGTTATTGTAATAACAAAGGTGTTATGAATAGGTTATAGCAATTAATTATGTTCTGGATTTATAATTAATAATCGTAATAATTTTATATCATTGAAATGAAAAGTTGATAAAAATTTTTGCTTTTAAAGTACAATTATGATCCTGAGTCTAGGAGTAGTGAGATATATAACTCAGGATCAGACATATTCAACTTTTTGGAATAAAACCAATCTGCGTGTATAGCTGATTAACTCTGCTACATACTATATATTATATACTATATTTGGTTTTATAGAAACATGGTAGAATTAGACGCAGAATAAGTGGTGATGAGATTACTGTTTAAATATCTAAAGTTCATCTGTTTAACTGCTCTTTGTAAAGGTTCAAGTTGAATCGGAAACAATGCAGAGTGCTTGCTCTATGTAATTGTCTTAAAAAGTTGTTAAGGTCAAGATTCTTCAATTTACTAGATCTTGACTTTAAATTGAGAGATATCATAGGAGTTATACTGTACATTTTATTAGTCTATATAACATATTTCCTAGTTTTAATTATTATTGATACATAGAACAATAGGGCCTGTCCTTGCTTTGATTTTACTTTTATTTGTTTTGTTACATCGAACAGTAAAAATTCATGACGTCAGAATATGAAGTCATGTTATGCACAGGTTTATACTTGTCAAAAGTCTTGAGCTTCCTCTTTTGAATTCTTTTAACACATTCAAAAAGCAAAGCTTTCACCTAGCATTAACTTACATGTGTATTAGATAATTTCCTCCACAAAACCTGTGTTCATATATTTAAGGACAGATGATAGAACCTTTTGATATTCTTCGAAGGAGAATTGATATCATCTCAGGTTAGGCTTAGCGAAAAAAAAAACAAGCCAGGTGAATTTTATAAGGAAGAACTAAATAGTGAATATCATCGTATGTGATCTTTCTGATTTTTCATCACATTGCGTTTTTTTTCATAAAATATACCTATCTTGGTCTATTTTTCTAGTTAAGAATACACTTTTATCACTAAGCTAACATATTTGAAAAAATGTTTTCATCAAGAAACCTTTAAAAAGTTAATTTGTCCATAATTGTAAATTTTATTGAAAAGTCAACTGTTTTTTTCTAAATCTATTTCATTTTCTAAGACAAAGGAGAAAAACAATCAAAGAATCAACCATTTTTAAAGCCTGTGAGATTAAATTAAGTCCCCTCCAATGAAAAAAAAAGATCTGTCCTTAAAGTGATATATGGCGTATTTTTGATAAGTTCTGACTATCTAAAATTAAAAAGAGTTTTCTATTTGTTTTGTTACTTTATATAAAAAGAAGACTTTCCTGTAAATTACGCAATTTAAATCAATTGCGTTACAAAGTTATTGCAGAATTTAAAACAATAACCGAATTATTTCCGACTCGGAAATAAATATCAGGCATAATTTAAAGTCAATTTAAGTAATAGAAACGAGGGGATATCTAAGTTCAAGATAAATTATGATTTTAATTTGAACGTACATAACAAATATCGTGTAATTCTCCGCTTAATCTCGTATTTTTATTTTTTACCTCAGATACGCCATATATAGCTTTAAGTATCTGTGAAATACGAAAGGTGAAGTTAATGAACATAATTAAATGAATAAATTAGAAACATACTGAAAAGTTAAAGAGTATTTTTTTTCCTTTTGCCATGCATTTTTAAGATTCTGATTTTATTATCATATAAATTAATTTATTTGATATGGTTATTGTTTGATATATATATAGTGCTTAAGGATATTGATATATGTTATACAGTACACTCAAGTGACCTATTTATATCCGTTTTCATCTGTCGTCGTGCGGTAAGCGTCATGTAACGTGCGTCTTGTGTTAACATCTCAGCATTTTCAGCATTATCATTACAACTTCTTAAATAATTTAAACCAATTTTAGCATTAAACATCAATTGGTGAAGGAAACAAAAATTATGAATTTCATGATCTGCCCCCTCCCCCTCAATGGGGGGGGGGGGGGGCTGAGAGGTGGAGCCAAAACAACTGAAATTTAAAAAAAAGTGTCTCTTTACCACTTGAAATTAAGCAGTCAAATTTTTACAATGATCGAATGAGGATTGAGACTTTTACCAAAATTATAAAATTCATAGCCCTGGGTTAGGGGTTCTATTGCTAGAGCGGGGCTATATAAATTATATAGTGAAAAAAACATTATTTCTTTGAAAATCTTTCTCTTTACTTCTGGGCATTAAATAAACCAGCCAAGTATATAATTATGTTGAATAAGGCTGCCTTTTCAGAAAATTATGAATTTTATTGCTTCTGGATTAAAACAGCAACCCAGTTCAATTTTTGGAATGTTGTCACATGATACTCATGTGACCTATAAAGCCTATGGACCTCTTTTTTGTATTACGTGATGGATAAGTAGCTTTAGGGAATATTGTAAAATTTATCAACAATGCGATGTGTATTTGAAACATAGAGTTTTAACATTCTAATATAAAGAATAACTTCATGAATAATTATAACAAATATGCATTGTAGTTGTTATTTTATGTCCATAAATGTGAATGAAATATAAAAATGTCAGATAAGTGGTAATACCAACAAAATATCATAACAATATTAATGTATATATTATTATTAATAAATATATATTAATAAATATTCTGTGTTGTCTTCAGTAATTATGTATTTTATAAAACAATACAGTCTTGATGAGATTTTTGGTTTCTTTTTCCCACATATTTTTTTTTCATTTCTTTTTTATCTAAGTGTAACGTTGAGTTCATCTTTCAGACACTACTGTTTCATATTTGGATATGTTACCTGAAAAAGACCTTAAATTTATTATCAAAAAAGCTCTATAAATTAAGATATCACTTTAAAGGAGGACCTACGTCAAAGCAGCGTTATGTGACGTCACAATAGTGACGTTTATTATACATCTACTGTAAAAACTCTATATGAAATTTATACCATAAAACTGTCTATTTCCCCGAGAAGAGACTATTGTATACAGGGAAATATTTTCCCCCGTTTAATTTTCGCCCCTTTCGCCCTGCCCTCGATTGCTCGAAATTAAAAAGGTTTGAATTTGAAGAATACAGTATAATTTCTTAAACAAAACTGTGACTGGGCGAATTTAAAACGGGGCAAAATTGTTTGCAAGTGTGAAAGGGCGAAAATAAAGCGGGGCGAAAATAACCCTGTATACAGTATTGCCCTCATCTGAGGAATACTCCCTGGAAAAATCAGATCTACTACTTTGGACTACTTTTTCATGAATATTTATATGTAATTTTGCCCAGCCAAAGTGTTAAGTTGGCGGAGCGTTCAAGAAATCTCGAGTCTGTGACGTCATGTTATTAGCAATGTAACTATGACGTCAAAACATTTCGAGATGCGATGTCAAAACCATACTTGAATTCTAGCAAAATGGAAACAACAATAATTCTTCGAAATGTCAGTGAAATACTTTTAAAAAATAATTTAATTGTTTCAGGACATGATGCATTACTTATCATACAATGTGTTAAACCGCATGCATTTGTAATTATGCCTCTACAGTGTTTTTTAAAATATCGAAATATCTGGTCAAAAAATCACATATGATTGTTTCGGTATAATAAAACAGTTATGGAATATGAACTCGGGAAATAGCAAATTTATCATGTTTATGGTTCCCCTCGGCAGGAAACTATTTACCTCGGCAGTTTGGCCCCCTCGGGAAACAGTTTCCTGCCAAGGAAAACCATAAATTTCCTAATTCCATCGTAGCTATTCGATAACTGTATATTGTTTTTACCTTTTGACTTTTGCAACTGTGATATAGGCATAATATTGTTAAGTTTTAATAATCAATAACGTACATGCACAATTTACAAAAGGAAATTATAATCATCAATAATAAGTTTTATTTGATTTATAGAGTTTGTTTATATTAGAATTTTCTTCCTTTGAATCATTCATAGCAATGTCAATTGTGAGGAAATGCCTCGTTGATAGGCTGATATTTAAGTGCAAAAAGAAAACACAAAAGTTCAGCAAAGAAAGCGGCTTAAATCACAGAATTATGCTCAATTTTATGTTTACCATTAATTGTATTTCCTGATAAAACTAGAGAAAAAATTAAGAAATGTACTTGTACCTATATTTGCTTATTGATTTATAGTACATGTAGATTTTATTGTATAAAGTCATTCCTAGGTTAAGTTAAATATGTGTTGGGTGTTGACGGGGGAAGGT